ACACTCCCACACTCCTCCACTGCTCTCCAGACACTCCCATACTCCTCCACTGTTCTCCAGACACTCCCACACTCCTCCACTGCTCTCCAGACACTTCCATACCCCTCTACTGTTCTCCTGTGGACACTCCCATACTCCTCCACTGCTCTCCCCCCGGGCACTGATGCACTGAGAAGTCAGGTTCTTACACATGAGCTTGTGGGTGTCACAGTCCAGCCACAGCCCTCCGTGTGTGGCTAACACTAGGAACGGATTTGGCCAGGCTGCTCTGGATCCTGTGGAGTGGTAATCTGCAGTGGAGGCCCGGGAGGAACTGAGAACGTGTACCCTGACATTTGGATGGCCATCAAGAGGTCACATGGGTCTAGATTTGAACTGATAATGCAGTTGTTTGATGGACCGTGTCTTGAGCACCTGCCCTCTCCTGACCCTGGAGCTTGCTCTAGCAGGAACCCTTCCTTAAATGCCAAGGTCCGCCCTAAATACCTTAGGTGCATCCCCTTCCTTGTATCCATAACAATCATGTGGTAGGCATGCACTCTTAGAATCCATTTGTAAGTGAGTCCTTGTACCACTTTTTTTTTTCCTCTTGCATTGAAGGAATAAGATTCAAAGTGAGTTTAAGCAAAAAGGAGAGTTGTGGGCGGGGGTGGGGGGGAGCTCATGTAGATCTCGTAAGCACAGTACTTTGAACTTGAAGCTTTAGCCATCACACTACCATGCACTCAAGCAGTACCTTAAAATAAGCCTCTTCCCTCCCTTAAGTTGTCGCCTTGGTTACTTGTGTGTCACAGCGACAAAACACTAAGTGACAGGAGAAGTTCCGAAGACCTGACCACAGCTGTTCAGACTGGGGAGCTCACACACGGGCGTGCACTTCCCATAAACTGTGGGAGCTCACACATGGGCGTACACTTCCCATAAACTGCAGGGAGCTTACACACGGGTGTGCACTTCCCAGAAGTGGGGAGCTGTTCAGACTGCAGGAGCTCACACACGGGCGTGCACTTCCCATAAACTGTGGGAGC